ACTAATATTCATTTTTACACTGTGTAATTATGTATTGACATGAGGGCGTAAATGAATAATCAAATGATCATTTTCAGGTGAATGAGTGGGCTGTTAATTTGCCTGACATCATCTGTCTCACATATACTGCACTTTACACGACTTCATCCACACTGGTCTCCAAGTACAGATCACTGCAGCGCAGAGACCTCCTAATGGGAGGAGCTTACAGCACGAGAAGGTGGAGACGCTCAGGTTAGTGGGGTTCAGTTGGGGGCGGGGTTAGAGCTAAAGCCCCGCCCATCGGGAGCTGTTTCGTCCTGTCAGAGCCTTCAGTGGACTGTGAGAAAAGATTGACAGCACTGTAGAAAAATAAAGCCAAACTGTCCCAGAAACTCACTTGAACATGTCAGCGTGATTAAAACACTGTAAAATGACATTCTACACATTTAAAGCTTTTTTAAAAACTCAAAAAGTGATTGATTCTCAAAACATCTAACCAGGCGAAACACAAGACGGAGTTCCTTTAGCCCCTATTCTGTCTGATTTGAGGTTAACCTGACGACAGCACTGCACACGACTGACTGTGCCATTACTCTGTCTGCATCTGTGAGGCCCCGCAAAGAACGAGACGGGGCCCCTCCGACCAGCTGATGTACTGTGCACCTGCTGCAACATACTGAGTCCATCCGCTATTTACATAACTGATTTAACAGTAATGAATGTGGTGAATTATCATTGCATTGATGCACTCGATGTTATTACTGAATAACAATATGTGGGCCATTCTACAGAACTGGTGTTCCACGAACAAAAATACTTTTAAAAAGCATTTAAGAATTCAAACCTTAGATGTTTACTAAGATCCTTCTATTATCGTTTGAAACCCACAATCATATTTAAAATATCAGTAAGCTTAATATACACTGCTCAAAAAAATCAAATTAAAAGAACACTTTTTAATCAGAGTTTAGCATCAAGTCAGTTAAACTCCTGGGATATTGATCTGGTCAGTTAAGTAGCAGAGGGGGTTGTTAATCAGTTTCAGCTGCTTTGGTGTTAATGAAATTAACAACAGGTGCACTAGAGTAACAATGGGGGCAACAATGAGATGACCCCCAAAACAGGAAAGGTTTTACAGGTGGATGCCACTGACATTCTTTCCCCTACTCCTCTTTTCTGACTGTTTTACGCTAGTTTTGCATTTGGCTAGGGTCAGTGTCACTACTGGTAGCATGAGTAGGGTGACCGTACAGGTCATTTTTACGGGGCCTTGTCAGGATTTTTATATTGCCTAAAATATCCAGGTTTTGGCTGTTTGCATTGTGCAGATTGATTGTTGTATGACATTCACGAGAGCTATAGAGAGCAGAGCAGACGGCTCCTTATGCTTTCGAATCGCTGGTTTTCGAAAAATCCTGGCCAGGACGTGTCCCGTATAAATGGCACATATGGCCACCCTAAGCATGAGGCGACCTGGACCCTACAGAGGTTGCACAGGCAGTCCAACTCCTCCAGGATGGCACATCAATACGTGCCATTGCCAGAAGGTTTGCTGTGTCTCCCAGCACAGTCTCAAGAGCATGGGGGAGATTCCAGGAGACCAACAGTTACTCCGGGAGACCTGGACAGAGCCGTAGAAGGTCCTTAACCCATCAGCAAGACCAGTATCTGCTCCTTTGTGCAAGGAGGAACAGGATGAGCACTGCCAGAGCCCTACAAAACAACCTCCAGCAGGCCATTTTCAGTCTAGTTTCACTAAAATGGCCTAGCCTGCTGCATCATTTTTTCACTTTGATTTTCGGGGTGTCTTTGAATTCAGCCCTCTGTAGGTTGCTCATTTTCATTTTCATCAAACAATGTGGCATCCTTTCGTTCCTAACACATATCAGTATAGATATCCAGCATGATATTTTTCCCCACTAGTATAGTTGCAGTACAAACTAAAAACATAGATGTAAACTAGTTCTGTACTCAAAGTTTACTACTGTTATACTCAAAGTATACTTTTGTATACTAGAAAGTGGGCAATTTAGTCCCAAGGAGTACTGAAATAGTACACTTACAAGTATACTACTAGTACACTGATATTTGTATACTTGCTACATAAAGTATACTTAAAATATACTTGAACTTTACTTAAGTATACTTAATCAAATAAACTTGAAGTATACTACTTTCTGGTAAGGGATTAGGCTACTGTCACTACCGAAACATGCGATGTTTTGTCAAAAATAAAGTATACTGAATGATCAGATAAAGCCCTAATCTTACAGGGGGTCGTTAGAGAAATGTGTGTTTCGCAGACCTACTCGGCGATTTTAATCCTGTCCGAATCTGCTAAATCTGTGTTTTTCTCACACAACCTCTGTAATCATCCCCGAGCAAATTACCTAACGTTACTGTTCTTCAGCAAACTCAGCGATCCTCTGAGAAAACTAATCCCGTCCGAATGCGAATGTCTGTGATTGCCGGAGATTATTCTGCATTTCGGCCAGCGTGAACTACCGTAGATGCTCTTAAGAAATAAAAAAAAATAACAATAATGAAATCAAGAGCCAGATCACGTAAACTGTTAAGACTGGCTACTCTAATATCAGCGTCAGGTAAGATTAACATTACTCGCCTTCACTTCTGCACTCAATTATGTACCTTTATGAAAATTACACATGGTTTTACTACAAATAAACAAAATAAACAGTTACACTAATTACATTAACCATGGTTTTGCTATGTTAGCCATGTAGCTTCAGCATGGTATCTGTAGTGAACCTGTGGTTATGCTAATCAGTCGTTTATGCCTTTTACAAAGAAAGACTGGATTCAAAATACAACAAATCTCATAAATCACACTTGAATATTGTTAACATTTTAATTGTTATTGATTTACCTCTATAAACTTTTTAATAAAATAGCAAAAAATAGATTTAAAAGATAGATTTAAGCAAAATCCTAATAGATCAATATAGCCCTTCTTATTAAATTATGTTATTGTGTTTCGGTAGTGACAAATTTGGGGAGCTGAAAAATATTCCAAAACTTTCTGAAAATACATTACGACTTTTTAAAAAAAGAGACATGTTTTCCCCCCAATTGCACAACCTGGTCTTGCGTTTCAGAGCAAAAACAAGGCTGTGGTTTGTGAAAGCCTTCTAGAATGTCCTGCAAGCCTGAGACTGCACATATTTATTATATTTGTGTGAAAATGTTTTCTTCAGAATATCATTTCTAAAGCTATTTGAACAGGTTCTCAGAGGACAGTGGGAACCCTGAATGATATGGAAAAAAATCTATCTTTCCTTTTCATACTGGCCTTTTCTTTGAATGTGATGGTGTGAAGAAAACTTCTGGATTGTTTTGTTTGGTTCATTTGGTCACTGGACAGATTCGTACAAAAATACATTTCCATTTCCACAGAACACATTCAAAGTGTTCGAGATTTCCAGTGGAAAAGCAGTATCAGTAACGCAGCCCGGTGAGCACGAAAACAACTATGAATACTTGCGATAGCAGACCGATTCTCATAAAAACAATATTGATATCAAATGTTTTAACTAGAAATTTTATTACATATTTATCGTGAACATGAATGCTCAAAATAAAGCGATGAAAATTGCTCAGATCACTCTCATTCAAGCAGAGAGAGAAGATATTACCCGAGACAGAAACACCAAACAAACTACTGTATATAAAAACTGCTAAATATGACAGTGTAATGGGATTATGTGAATATTGTTTTAACACGTTATGGTGCTACGCCTTCCACAGACAATATAAATACATATAAATACATTTAGAGCACTTAGTGATTGCTATCGGGATGTGAAGAGACTTTTACCCAGCAATAACTAAACGTTTCTGAACCAAATCCCCTTCCCTGCCTTTAATTTGGAGATTCAATGTGAAAATATTTCTGATGGTGCTGTTTAAAGGGGTCGTGACATGAAAAATCAAATTTCCCTTGATCTTCTGACACAGAAGAGGTCTTTGTATGCTTAATACATCCTGCAAGTTTCACAGCTTAAAATGTCCTCATCATCAATAAAAATCATTTAAGTAATAATAAGAAGACGGCTCGTTTGGATCAGAGGGGCAAGGTGACGTCAGCTGGGCGCAGTCGTTTACATAAACTCCGCCCCCAGAGCGATGCGCCAACATAGGCCCCGCCCACTGGCGTTCAGCCGCTAATGGCCAACACTTGATCACGCTTGAATGCAAGTGTCACATCACGTCAAAAGCAAATAGAAATCAGGATCACTGCGCTATCTTGTCTACACTGGATACAGTACACAGATGTGCGTTCACTTTCTCACACAGTCCCCCGCTGGAGTCTGTCTTCAGGACAAATGCAGAGAAAGAACCTTCGCTTTGACGCGTTTGGTTTAAACAGCGTTCGCATCTTTGTACAGATAACAGAAGGATCCGAATGCAAGGAACGAGGGGATAGTTTATTTTTAATGCACCCCGGATCATGTCTGAGGATTGATCGGAGTGTTTTGTTTTGTAATCGAGGCACAGTGTCACAAAGAAGCATTTGTTGAAAGCTGAAGCGGCACTAGACCTGACTGCAGCTGCATCACAAACCGTAAGTAAATGATTTCCTAATGCTTTGTCTGGAAATGACGTTTCATTTTGATTATGTTGTCAAAACACTCACAATAGCGAGGGGGCGTTGATAGTGTTTACTATGCACTGACATTAGCCAATCATAACAAGCCTTATAGGACACGCCCCTTAAAAACAGGCTGTTTTACAGAGAAGTTCAGAATGACGACTGAAAATTATATTTTATATTATGAAGTTTATATTCAAAAACTTTATCAATGTTATAAGTAAACCTCAAGGAACATATTAAAATAATAAAAAAAATCCATGTCATGACCCCTTTAATGCTAGGTATGGATTATCATGATTATAATCAGTGAGGAACGCATCGGGCTCCCTGTGCTTTGGGCTGGAGGTGGACAAAGAGGATTCTCGAAGGTTCAAGAGTTTCCTGAGGAGGATGCTGACACTCACCGTGTGAATTCAGGACAAACTCTGAGCTCCACCTCTGCTCTTAGTCTTCCTGTTTTCCTGAAACACTTCCACATCTGCAGAACGAAAGCAAGCCACACTTCAACGGCACATTACAGAAGAATCAGTGTCCTGAAGGACGTTATGTGGACACACAGCATGCATCAAACACGATGGGCGCTGGATCAGCAGAGTTTGACCTGCAGAGAGCGGTGTGTTCATACAGGCTACGGCTCACATCACACGCCAACACAACACAACCCACACCAGACCACAGGCATGCACACAAACACCATCGGGGAAACAGCCACACCGTGTCATTTCAATAAAACAATCAGAGGAGCGTCATGGGACCTCATGTTCATAAATATGAAAGTGGATCAGCGGTTACACACACAGCAGACAGCATCAGTTAATATAAGAGTGATGGAGGTTCAGTCCAACAGAAGAATCACATGAGCGTCGCTACAAAGACATAACACAGAGCAGACTCATGCAGGCGGGGGTCAGGGGTCACACGCAGCCGTACTCGTACCACAGCGACTGGCCGTCCTCCTCGGGCTCGTCTGAGCGCTTGGCCTTATGGGGAGGGCCGCTAATGCTACTAACGAGAGACGTGTTGAGGGACAGGATGGCCTGGTTTCTAGCACCACCCGTCACCGCTGGCTCGCTAAAGATGGAGTCCAGAAAGATGGAGTCTACGGTGAAGGAGGGACCTAGAAAGGCCTGCAGGCTGGACAGCTCGGGCTCCTGTACGCGGCAGGGCATGCTAGCAGACTTGTGCAGGGCTGGGTCGCTGTACTCACTCTGGGAGCGGGAGGGTGCGGGGTCCACCAGCACGGGCTGCCGGCTGTCCTTGTAGAGCAGCTCGTGGATGCTGGTGCGGCGCACGGAGCCTTCGGCGGTGGAGATGACGCTGCTGGCGCGGGGCAGGCCTGAGGACGAGTCCAGACGCTCCGACAGAGACGCTGACGAGGCTTTGCTCTGCGCAGACAGGCCGACTCGGGGCGAGACCTTGGACCGCGTGCTCTCGGCCTTGCGCAGGCTGGGGCGGCCCGGCTGACCGGCTCCCGCAGGGGCCTTACCGCTGGCTGAGCGCAGGATGCCTCGGCTCTTCACACGCGGCACGGCTCCGGACACACCAGACGACTGCGCAGGGAGGAGAAAACACTCTTACATACTGCACTGAGCACAAGCAGAGATGCAAACTCAAAGCTGACGGGGAAAAGGCAAAAGGAAAATACTATACAAAACGTATTGAAACAACAGTTTTTTATTTACCCTCGCAAGACCCCCCCCCCCTCATAAAAACACTTTCTCATTGGATCTAAGCAAATCTTATAGGTGACCTATTTTGATCTCAAAAAAGTGCGTTGTCACTAAAAGGTGAGGCGTTTGCACCTATGACAAGTGTCTGTTTACAAATGTAAGCTAGGGCTGGGCAAATAATCGAATGCGATTGTCATGTGCATCTCGTCAGTAAAGCCGGTTCTGTGATCAGTAGTAAATCTCCATCACAAGCTTTCAGATGGAGCAGCATTTACTACACCGAGCCGTAGTTCACTGTATGTGACTATCATCAGCACAACTACTGCATCACATCATTTAAATTTTTCTTAGAAAATGACAGATTGTTTGGCTAGATAAGACCCTTATTCCTCGGCTGGGATCGAGTAGAGCCCTTTGAAGCTGCACTGAAACTGCAGTTTGGACCTTCAACCCGCTGATCCCCATTGAAGTCCACTATATGGAGAAAAACCCTGGAATGTTTTCCTCAAAAAACGTAATTTCTTTTAAAGAAAAAAGAACATCTTGGATGACATGGAGGTGAGTAAATGATCACAAAAGTGAACTAATAATCCTTTGAAACATGTCACTGACCCCGAACCTTTGATTGGTAGTGTTTGCGGGTTGAGTTTAGGCCTGTGAAATCATCAGTTCATTTTGCTTTAATATAAACAGTGACTCCAATCACCAGCCATACAGTCGGTCTCAGACAGATGACTCTGACTGCTGCTTATATACACTGGTAATGCTGGATGATTGGGCTCTTGGTTGACTTCATGAAGAGGTGTGTATGCGAGCATCACCTCTGCTGGCTCTGTGCTCTCCTTCAGGAACTGCTGCAGGGAAACCACCTCACTTCCTGCAGATTTGGCCCTGCGTTTGCCCTCCAGAGCGCTGTGCTGCGCTGAGGTCTGGCTGGCGGGACTGTCCCGACTCACACTGACGTCACTGCTCTCGCTGCGAGGCCGACTCACACTGCCGTTCATCACACCTGCGCAACACACACCAGCACAAACCTCCTCAATCCTGACTGCATCTCTGCATTTAAACATCACTCTTCACTATGAATATTCCTGCACGTCTGGAAAAACCAAAACTATTGCCCGGTCCAAATACCTACACACTTGCGGTCTTTGACTACTTCAACACTTAATTTTTATTTTCAACACTTTGCATTTTAAAATAAACTTCTCAATATCTGCTCTTTAACAGATGGCAGTTTAATTTGTGGTGCTTCTAATTTGATAAAAAGCGGCTCATCTTTGCATCAACAAAATGTGCAACACTTTGTTTTACTACCAAATTATATGTAATATCTAATTATTATTAATATTTAACTTGCATTGGAAAGGTTTCTGTGACCTCTCGCGACATCTCACAAAGTCTCACGATTTATTTCCACAACATGGTGCATGATGGGATACACTGATCCGGAGCAGTATTCGAGATGGCATGGATTTAGTGTGCATTAAGGGCACTGCGCTTTGGTGTTTTTAAGATCTGGGACAGTCTTATTCCTGTGTCGTGGACGCGCTCTCAAGCGGCCGAGACCGCAAGGGTGGGTATTTGGACAGGGCACATGTTATTTTAATTGCACATCATAATATGAATAACAAATCAGTGACTCAGCAGTGGATCTGAATGATTCACTGACTGACTCACTATTACTTAAAAGCACGTTTGAGGCTGCTTCATGAATCGTTTCAACTGACTCCTTAAAAAGAACGGGTGTGTAAGTGTTTGTGAATCAGACATCACGGCTCACAGAAACACTGGTGCATAATCTCACGATATCTAATCAAACACATGGATGTGCACACAGTTTCCCAATCATTGCCAACAGTGACTAGAGTGCAATGTATTATTGCACATTTTTGTCATGAACATTTTAGCTGCCTGGAGTCCTAGGATCACAAAGAAGATTTAGTCCATGTAATGAGGTCATGAGTTCATGCACACGGCGTTAACGAGACAGCCGTCTGAGTGATGCAGCATGCAGGCTCTGTGAGCTGGAGCGAGATCAGTCGAGCAGCAGGAGATCAGCAGATGGAGCAGACAGACACTGTGCTGGAGGAGCGGTCACTCACCCTGAGCGCGCTCCTGCTCCGTCAGCTGCATGACGTCTTCACTGGACATGGCTGCGCCTACAACACACATGACAAACACCAACACTCGCTTCTGTTTGCTCTAGGGGTGTAACGGTGCACACATTCGAACCGAAAACCTTCAGTACGGGTCTTTCAGTTCGGTGCAAATCATTCCATTTTCTCAGGGAATTCAGACAATAAATGCTGCTTTGATGCGGCGCGACAGATCGCTGTATAAACGCCTCAGTTCTGACGGCAGCGTGATCATCCCTTCATCTTTACTACTAGCTTTAACACGAAATAAACATGAATGAACAAATCACTCAATCAATTTCAATTGTGGAAAAACGTCAATAAAACCACTTGTAAGCAAAACGTCACGCAGCATTTCATTCACCTCAGGCAAGTCATCAGTGTGCACAGCTCGTTATTTGCTAGAGGAATGAAGTCTAGTGAAGAGCATTTTGAGAAATATTAGACTGTATACTCACTATATTTGACTTTACCTGTTAGTAATGTCTAAATTATTTAATGTATGTTTAAATAAATCTTTTATCAAACAAATGAATATATTTCAACAACAAATAGAAACGGTATAGTTTAGAAGTTAATTTAAAAAATGCATTATGTGCAATTTACATGTTTGCATGCACATATTTAATTTGAGTGTGGATTATTATAGTTAAAAATAAATAGTAATTGAATTTAAGTGTGGGCTCTGTTGTTAATTGTAACCTTATAGCAATGTAAGAGAGCTCCCTATGGTTTAGAGCAGAAGTGGAGGTGTGCAGCAGTAAACACAGACCTGTGTCGGAGTGGTGGCGAGCGCTGGGGCCGCGACTCAGGCTCAGGCCGGCGGAGTCCATGGATCCAAACTCCTTCCCGTGCTGAGCTTCGAGATGATCCGTGCTGCTGGACCACTGACCCTCGGACACAGCCATTGTCTGCAGCAGGTCGTTCATGGCTGACACACACACACACACACACACACACACACACACACACACTCTGCATTAACACGCTGAAGGCCTGCCAGACGCACACGGTCGATATGAGTGAACACAGGAGGAAAGAAAGAGATGAAGAAGGACAGCAAGGCTGAATGCAAGTGATTACTGGAGAGAGATGATGCAGGACACACAAGACATTCACACAAGCTCACGATTCACTGATGATACCATTAAAGCTGCATAAGGTCTGTGGAGACACTCTGTTTCTAATACACTAATACTGGAAGTCCAGCACGCAGTTTGCAGTTCAACAGTGTGTTAGCAGGGCACAGCGCTAGCTAACCCTGACATATTATATGTGAGATGCTGTCCCCAAACTATGCATTCACTGTCTTCACTGTGTGGGACGGTTGCTAGTTTCTAGGATGTGTGGCACTGAACTCTCCAAACAGATCTGACTTGGGCTGACGTCATAACCTTGAGAATCTAACTGATCTCTAGTAAAAAAGTAATATATTTAAAATACATTCAGTTCAAACTAGGTACAGTTCAAATCTATTAACATATTTACTGACATATCGCTCTAGACTTACGGATAAAAAAAAATCTATTAAACTTTATTTGGAGTACTTACTATTGCACAATGCACATTTCTTAATATTAAGCCTAAAATGTGTTTTAATGACACATTTGATGAGGATTGTATGATCTTTGAATAATATCAGTCTTTAAATGCAAGATATTTAAAGTGTACCCGAAGTTTACTCACAGTAGTTCCACTTTAGCTCAATCAAATACACTTCAGTATATCTTTAGTTGGACCTCAGCACCACTTCCACACAATTAAAGTGCATTAAGCACAAACTTTGAGTATAGCAGTTTAGTATACTAAAAGTACAACTGCAGGGTGTTTTTATGAAGTATATAATATGTAAATGTATTTGTAGTATACTTTGCATGAAATAGATGTATTTCAAATACATTTTAGTATACTTATTTTTCACTAGGGTTATGCATCTGAACAGACGAACATTAAGTGTGTCACGGTCACAAGAGCTCGAGGACAGTGCAGGTCTGTGAAGTGACTGATGGTGATAGATGATGGCAGTGCTTCTGTCGGCCGCTGCAGGAGACACAGACAGAAGAAGAGCGTGATGGATGAAGACGAGCAGATGTCTTACACATAGAGCGGCGGTAGGCGGCCTTCACACGGTCTTTCTCCTTGGATCGGTTCCTCATGAACGGAAGCTTTTTCAGCGCTGTCACCGGAGAGACAGCGGGAGGAGAGAACAGACGCATGTTAGCATGACTACCAGCGCACCTTCCTGTCAAACTGATGCTCGTACATTAACATGATCACTCAGCTGGACGGCAAATGAACACACACCGTCTGATGCCAACAGGACATCAGTATTAAAGGGTGCAATGCGGGAGAGAGTCACAGATCATTTCCGAGCTGCTCAAATGAATGTTCTCGCTGTGTTCTCAAGCACAGATGAATGAACAAGCGCTGAACTGCATTCACACACGCTGTTTGCATTGCACCTTTTAATAGAGAAGAACACAAATGCAGTGTTCATGGGCTGACTGACAGCATACCGTTAGAGGAAGCCTGTGTTTGGCTTTTCTCAACTCTCTTCCCTTGGCAAAGAAAGCAAGAAAACACAAGAGAGAGTGTCAGGCCAGAACTGCACGATCATACATCTCATATGTGTGTTTGCTGAAATCATTCTCTAGCTGAGCTGTTTTCTGTTGGGTGCGCACAAAATCACACAGAGACAATAAACGGACATTTAACAACTTTCTGTTGCGCTGACTTCACAAATACAGTTTTGACTGGTCATTGTGATGATCGATTAAAGGGGTCATGAACTGAGAAACCAAAAGTCCCCTGATCTTTTGACATATAAAAGGTCATTGTACTATAAAAACATCCTGTAAGTTTCAGAACTCAAAACTTTCTTGTTAGTATTGTAGTAGGGCTGCATGATAAATCGTGATAAATCACAATTAAATCTCAATCACGATTAGACAGAAGCTGTGACAGTCATGTGTATCTCGTCAGTGAAGCAGGGTTCTGTGATCAGCAGTAAATCTCCATCTGAAGGCCAGAGAAACTCCAAATACACCCCGCAGAAGAAACCCAGGCAATCCCTATAGCACTAGCTGAATAAACAGAAGATTTCACTGCTTTCACTGATTCAGCGTGGCTAATAAACACACGACTATATGATTTATCTGAGTTCTTATTATGATAATGCAATGCTAATCGACATAGCCTTTATCACTGCTTAGAATATTATGAAATATGTTGCGTCTTATTCTGTGTAAGAAGCCACATCATCTCACAGAAGGATTTATTTCAAACACTCGACTGACGTTATGAAGTGAGTTTGGAGTAAAAACATCTTATTAAATGTGGTGCTTTCAGATGGAGCAGCATTTACTACACAGAGCCGTAGTTCACTGACAAGCTACGCAAACAGCTGTCAGTATCGCAGAACAATTTCATAATCGTGCTATAATATCATCTGTGATCATGATCGTGGTTTTGTGTAGCTTGTCAGTGAACTACGGCTCTGTGTAGTAAATGCTGCTCCATCTGAAAGCAGGTGATGGAGATTTACTACTAATCACAGAACCGGCTTTACTGACGAGATGCGCATGACTATCACATGTGATTTATCATGCAGCCCTATATTATAGTTAGTAGTTAGGAGAGAGGCAAACATGCAGGTCTACGCAGAAACCAAACGATAAAGATGCTCCAAAGACAACAAGACGCTGTGCAGTGCCAAGCTGTGGAAAAACATTGTTGCCTTCCTTCTGATCCCAACGTTAGGAAAGAGTGAATACATTTTATTCTTAATGAAGATCCAGACTGTGTCAGCAAGAACTCGGTCCTTTGTCCACTTAATTTTACCATGGATTAGTATTCAAACAAGGCACAATTCGACACAGGATTTTCAGAAAGATTGAAACTAAAACATGATGCTGTGTGACTATTGGATCTGACAGCAATGCTGCAACACAAGTGTGAGTAACTGTTTTCATTACGTGATCACTATTGCGTTTTTAACCTCAATCACTGCAGCGTCCGTCTGTGAGGAATGTACTGTCAATCATACACAACTATTAGTCAAACACAGCAGTGGGCGTTTACTTCCGAGTCTACAATCCTCCACATCTATTCAAACAGAGCGTTTTGATGACGGGGGTCAAAACAGGACAGGCCTGTTACTGCTAAATTATGTTTCTTTTAAATGTAAAAATCATGATAACATTATAAGTGGACCTCAGAGTTCATGACCCCTTTAATAAACAAATGATTCTTTTGAAAAAGTTATGGGGGCACATAACTGACGACAGGAAACAAAAGATGGTGGATGGGATCAAGAGTGACATTCCCCAATTTTAAACACACAACGTGTACAAGCAGCCGGACCATGCCTCCGACACACACCTCTGAGCTGAGCTGGATTCACTCAGGAAATCAGTGGAAATCAAAGAAAGAATCAGCTAGAACCATTGGGTTCAGTCACTAGCTGAATGTGTCGGAGTGATTCCGGAGTTAACTGCAAGAAGGTCAGAGCACTGCAGGGAGCAGGAGGTGTGCCGATACTCACTGCCGCTGCGGTGGGTGAGATTGTCCTCCAGTGAGTTGGATCCAGAGCCGACGGACGAGCTGTCCTGACTGTCTGGCTGCGGCAGCGTCAGGAACCCTTCGCTGGACTCGGAGCGGGGAGGAGTCTGTGTGAGAGAGCGCATGCGCTCACGACTCTTTGGCTTGATGAGCTTCCTCATCTTCAGTGTGATCCAGTTACCCCTCCTGCAGAAACAGCAACTCTTATCATGTGACCCATGTCCTGTAAAGCATCTCATGCAATAATTAGAAACCCCAAAACACTGCAACACATCAGGAGAATGAAACGCTCACAGACATTGCAGATCTGAGGTTTTAAACTATGACATAACTTCAGGCTGTATTGTAACTGTGGCCTGACTGAGGCATCTGCGCTCATCCACAATGACACCTGGCCCTTCACTACATAATCCACTGCACGGACACAGGTCCACTTTCATAATTAGCACCTCAGAGAAGATGAAAATGTCCTCTATCACCCCAAGAGAACCAGGGCTGTAGCCTAGTCATAACCTCAACTTCTCTGGGATATAGACAGTGTCCACTTGTTCAGTCACCTGGCAACTAGTCAGTATTAAGGACACCTGGAATTTCTCTCCAACATTACATGTGCAAGAGAGAACCTCGTAGCATCCAGCCAAACCTAATAAGCTTGTGGAGATAAGCCCAGTCTGCTGCTGCCCATACAACCTTTTTCCATGCTCCTGGAGACCCACTCACCTGCAACGTTTATTTACAACCTGCTTCAACATATCTGCCTGCATTTTCCAATGGATCCTGAGGACCTTGATTGTCTAGTTCAGGTGAGTTTGATCAGGGTTGGAGCTAAACTCTGCAGGACAGTGGACCTCGAGGAGTAGGGTTGAAGACTTCTGTGTTATTCTATGAGACATGCTGTTGCAAACACAAAAGCTGTTCATCTGAAGCTTTGTGCCTGTCCCATCTAAACACACACTGAATGGCCTCACTGGGAATAAACCGTGCCATCTGTTCCCCTCCGCAGAACTGAAGAGAGGAAAATGACACACAGGGATTTCTACTCTCAAACAACCTAATCCCGGTTTAATCCCCTTAGGCAGAAATGCTGAATTTGGGAGTAAGACAAGCCTGGAGAAATTCTGCATGAATCTGAGGTGGCATACAGGGTGCATGCAGCTCAGTGACGTGCCTCCAAGAAGTCAATGCAATGCAAGTGCTTTATACTTGCTATACAAGGAAAGAAGACCAGTGCAGTCGCTGTGTAAATGATGAAATTCCCACAGGTGTGTGGGTGGGTTGTCACTGAATGTACTAAATCAGCTTATAAAAGTGCATCTGCATAATGGCATTAGGATGTGCCAGGATTGTTCAGCAACAAACTGGGCTGCGTTTTCAAAAAGCGCTGTGAACCCAAGTAGATCGTAGAAACCATAGGCACCAACAGTCTTTACGAGGCACTTTGGCTTATGAAGCCAAACACATTATTGAGGCAGACTAGTGAGTTTAATATCTTTTGAGTTGTACTTTTAATGGGAGTGCAATTCTCAGTTGCCCTATTAAAGGCCTGTGCTTAGCATGCATTTATCCCTTTAGAAACTGATAAGACACTTCTCTCCAGTCTTCCACTATCAGTTTCCTAATTATTTGGCTTGTTTAGATAGTTTAGCATCCCCCTGCCAGATTGTACACCTCCTTCAGGCCTTCGATATCCATGATTAGGTCTACTACTACAATACCATCAGCAAATTTGATCAGTTTGCATTTCCCGGGGAGCTCTAATCTTTAGGATGAGCGAAGATGACCCACAGGCAGATGGAGAAAGTCCTAATGTCCGGAGTTTGGAGACAAGCCTGGTGGAGATTACAGAGTTGAATGCTTAACTGTAACCAACTTACAGCAACCTAATATGGTTTGCCTTCATGCAATTTAAGTGAGAGAGGATGGCATGCAGTATTGGTGTTGTTGTCTATAGTTCTATTTCGGTGGTAGGTAAACTGGTGAATTGGGGAGTGAGGAGTAAATGTAGTCTTTGGCTTGCCTCTCAAAGCATTTTATAATTAAAGAGTTGAGTACTAAGGGCAGTAGTTGCCCAGGCTGCATGTTAAAACATTTTAAAGTACCCTGGAGCTAGTTGATTGCTACCTGGTTAGCATTCCTGTAGTGTAGCCCAAACAGTAGAGCACAGTGCTAACAATGTCAAGGTCACAGGTTCAGTTCTCAATGACACCATGAACTGAGAAAGATTGAATGCAATGCAAGTTGCTTTGGATAAAAGCATCAGTTAAATGCATAAATATAAATGGGATTCAAGAATCACCTGTGATGTCACTGGGTCACATTTGAGGGCAGTAATCCTACAAAATAAACAAAATTTGGATTCCTTGTACCTTCCACTTCCAAAGTTGTTGAAAGACCTAGTGGAAACCACTGTAGTGATTCCAAACAATGTTATTCATACTCAGAGGAAACCAAATAACTCTTGGACTGAACCTTTTACGAGCCACACCCAGAAGTTCCAACTATGAGGGTATGAGTGCAGTATGTTCTACCTGAGAGAGCAGATGCCATGGACTGATGTATAACACCCGCATTACTTCTGCTGTCCATGACTTCGCTGTTGGTTTCTGACTCCATCTGATCTTGCATCTCTCTTTGAGTGAGGGAAACATATGGCACAGCCCTGCGCACAGATATCCCAAAGCATCCAGATCTAGTGGTGTTTCTTTCCCTCGGTGACAAGAATAGTGGACATTGCTTGTTGTCTAATGAGCCAAGCAAACCTAAGTCAGCCCTGCTGCATCTCTCTCAGATCTGTTGCACCATCTGCGGGTGTAGTCTCCATTCCCAGAATTTAACAGACTACTGACAGTGTGGGGGTAAATGAACCATTTTCAAGTTCACTTTGATTCCTAAAGAGTTTAGATTCTTCATTCATTTCAGGAAAGCCAGAAAGGTCTGGCATATTATGGGCATAGAGAAAAACTATCGCACTTATAGCCTCGAGAGACTAGCCATGGCTCCAGCTGCCGGCCATGTATTGTCTAATCTTAGTGCTGATTGATGTCTAGCGTTGTGGAGAGTGGTATTCCCTGTCACAACAAGCTCTTCCCTCATCCCAGTTGCGTTATGGAAGAAATCAGCCTGCATATCTTGCTTTCATCTTTATCAGGGAGGTCAACCACAGCTGCAATAGGGAGAAAGATGTGAGCTAGTTTCTTCAGCTCCATGCTTCCACCTCCAGCAAGCTGGTCAGCCCAGTCCTTTGATGAAGCAGAGGTTTTGGCTGCAGACCATTCAAAGGGTCTTTGCAGACATCCTGCATAAAAATCTGTGCAACACTTCAGGAGAAAGTTTGCTGCTATAAGCGCAGAGCGGACAGCGTGGCCTTAGCAACTCATTCACAAAAACTGAAATGCTAATGGACTTTGTTTACAAAAGGTTGCAAAATGAAGATTTGCTAATTCAGTATATATGGTAGAAGGCAGGATACCGGTAACACTGGTGATGTGCAGTTTCAAAAGCGTGTAAGTTATATTTGTGCATGGCACTTGTGTTATCTCTTCTTCTTGTCAGTGCTGTTTATAACTTTTAGGCTATAACTGTTGTCTGATGTCTGATCCTCTCTATATATATCACTTTCATATATGTAGCATTCTGTGTTGAATATAGACAGTTTGGATGTGGTTTGTGCTCTAAAGGGCAGACTGTTTGAGTAGTGCAAATAATCCACTCTGTGCTATCCTGTTTCTGTGTACTAGTGTATGCTGCACAAAACCCAGGCTTCATTCAGCCCAACGAACAGCAAAATAACACTGAAATCTGAAATTGCTCTCTATAGTGAATGAGCAAACAAGTGGTGGACAATGAACAGAGCTTCAGTCATAGTTTAGACATCCTCAATCCAGGAAGCACTGGACTGGACGATGTTTCTCCAGTGTATTCTGTGTTATAATCACATCCAGTGGTGTGCGTGAGATGGCGCGCTTACCTTCGCGGAGGTGACGGGTCATAAAATTTATACTGATCCATAATCTTCTCCTCAAGTTTCTCTTTCTGTCTCCTCAGTTCATTGAGTTTATCACTGTGTGTGTGAGAGAGACAGAGAGAAGTATGGTAGTGTATCAGCACACAGGAGGTGATGCAAATTTACAGGTGAATAGTTTTAGAAGATTAAAGAGAACGAGGGTAAAATAAGAGGTGTGAATTAGAAATATGGTGATGTCACACATGTATTGTCTCTGCTCGACGTGGAACAGGTCTTTGCTCTCCATGGTCTGCTCCAGCAGGGTCCGGTTCTGCAGCATGAGGGTCTGGATCTGATCCAGCAAATGCCGGTTCTCTTCCTCTAGGTTCCCCTTCAGCTGACTTAACAACTGCAGGACACATTTCACACACACACAGTTACCCTCCACATGTCTTTGTTTGCAAACAGCTATTTAGTTCACCACATTCATGAGTGTTGAAACCTCACGAGTTTGCACATGAGAACTTCACATGCCGATGCGAGACTGGGAAGTGTAGTTATACACGATTTGGGTGGGGTATCGAGGACCAGGTTCTAATTTTCCAAGAACCGGGTGTTCGATAAGATGTGCATATTTCAGTCCCGCTTAACGATTCCTGCGTTCACATCTTAGTGTGATTTTGAATGATTTAAGACTCTAGGTTCCCCTTCAGCTGACTTAACAACTGCAGGACACATTTCACACACACACAGTTACCCTCCACATGTCTTTGTTTGCAAACAGCTATTTAGTTCACCACATTCATGAGTGTTGAAACCTCACGAGTTTGCACATGAGAACTTCACATGCCGATGCGAGACTGGGAAGTGTAGTTATACACGATTTGGGTGGGGTATCGAGGACCAGGTTCTAATTTTCCAAGAACCGGGTGTTCGATAAGATGTGCATATTTCAGTCCCGCTTAACGATTCCTGCGTTCACATCTTAGTGTGATTTTGAACGATTTAAGAGCAGGAAGGGAAGAACTTGCGCTCGGTTTGCGTGCAGCGCACACGTCTGAAGCACAGAGATCAGAGAACAGCGTTCGTTCTGTTCACTGCAGGAAGGCTTGCTCCGAGCCGAACTCACTTCTTTCATATTTATCGACCAGCGTGCAGAAAACTACGTCAGTATATCATCATAAACACAGCTGTTTTTGTCTGAAGTGAACACAAACATGAGAAAGAAAACGCTTGTGTACAGTATTTTTAGATCTGCATGCGTTCGGTGTTAAAGTGACAGCAGTCTAATAAACAGCAGTCATTAATGTTAATCAAAGAACAAAAGAAAATCACTCACTCATCTTGACTGAATATCTTTAATAACTTTAATGAGGATTAATCTATATTTTATTTATGAAAAGAAAACTATGCAGTGTTTTTAAACTTTTGATTTAAATTTCTGTACCTGGAACTTATTTAGTCATATTTATTTGTGCTATTGCTAATTGATTTGTTTGTTTCTATTTTATCACTGACTCTTTACTTGTCTTTATCAAAAAAAAATTTGTAATTTATATTTGTCTAGTTGTTTTTGTTGTGGTATCTTTTTGTTATAACCAAAGGCAGAAGTTCCTAAGTGTTCTGTAGGCCCTAACTGGACCTGACGGCCGTGTGAGATGCTGTAGCGTGTACCTCGCACTGGTTGGTGAGTTTGGTGGCGGTTATGTCCAGCTGCTGGTACTGTTCCTTGAGTTTGGAGAACTCAGCCTCCAGACGCGTCTGCTCCAGCCGGGCCGTGTTCAGCTGACTCTTAAGAGTCTTATGATCTGTCTGCAGAAGCTCATTGTCCTTCAGGAGCTGCTGGTGTGTGGAGCTCAGCCTGCACACAGGAGAGACGCTCATGAGAGATGGGCCTCAGTCAAGAGAGACGCTCGCTCATCCTGACACTCACGTGTGGTGCTCCTCGCTGAGCCTCTGGTACTGTGTAGCTGTGTCCTGATGACTCTTGCTGTCAGAGATCATCTTCTCTCGCTCTGCTGTGAGATCTCTCTCCAGCTGCTCCAGCTCGGTCTTCTGCTTCAGCAGCTGATTGTACCTGCACACACACACACACATCATTGAGAAACAGAGCTGTGGCTGTGGAATGGCAGGTGATTGCTGCCTGTGCTGTCTGCACCTGTTCTCCAGGCTGCGGTGCTGTAGCTCCAGGCTCTTGTGGCCGCTCTTCAGCTCTCCGTGTTTGCCGATCAGATCCTCGTACTCCGACGCTTGTCTCTCGTGCAGTGCAGACAGCTTCTCGTGGTCGTGCAGCAGCAGATCGTAGACCGTGCGCAGTTCCTCCTTCTCTCGTATGGCCACGTCCCTCTCGTTCTCTGTGCCGGACTGCTGCGTCTGCAGCTGAGCATTCTGGGACATGAGAGCGGCGCTCCGAGAGTTCAGCGTCGAGTTCTCCACCTGCCAGCACATCATAAACTCGTTTATCTCAAAGTGCACTTCTGGTAAATGAGCACACGGCAGGGTTATAGCATTGATTTAAGAGTTGCAGATTGTTTTGTGCAACTCTCAGGGGCCTGAAAAGCTTTTACGACCAAACTCCTGTTACATTCACGAGGAGAAATATCTACCATACCCTTTCTGTAATTATGTGTTCACACCAAAAGCTAATTTAATTATTTGCATGGGTAGATTACATACAAAGTTAATGCAAAGATGCAAATTTGCGGAGGCGAAGTGATTGCCACAAACACGCGATATATACGCCTCAAACGCATCTTCCGCGAGTTCAAACATTCAACTCAAGCGGAAAATTCGCATTATGCGTTTTCGCGCAAGCCAATTAGTGGAGAGCTTATTGACATGTCTGATTTTATCAGAAAATGTTTTTTAAGTAAAGCTGAGCGCACACTGTGTGATTTTTAATAGTCCTTTAGGATTGTTGCTTGTCAGACTGCAGGAACATGATGATCATGTCACACTGTGGGATCTCATTTGTCATTAATGTCAGACTGTACGACAGTCAAGATGCGTTAAAAACGGGTGCGCACAAGAAAACTTGTCCGGAGTTTTACATTATCAACCCATACACGTTCAGTGACTGCGAGCTGCATTGCACGCGGGGCTGTAATGTTGGCTATCATTAAAAGTGCATGAATTGCAGCAATACCGGCAGCAGAATAGGGCAAGCAGTACTACACACCCACATGAAAACAGCAGCGCAACCGGTGTTCATCATAGCAAAGGCAACATGATATGAATCCCGTGAGCGGAGGACGAGAGCGCCGGAGTTTATGCGTTTAGAAGAAATCTTTAGCATTCATTCTGATCATGGCTTGTCTTGAAAAACAAAGACAGTTTGAAGTTCGTCATAGCACGTCACACTGCAGGACTGTGCGCCAAATCTTCTGACACTGCCAGAAGTTCGTCAGAGGTCAAATTTGATTGCAACGGTCATTAATTTGCTGTCGGTGAACACGTCAAACCAGCGATCATATTGTAGCCTAGGATTATAGGAATCTTTTAGGATTTTCAAAATATGTCTCAGACAACCAAATCGTGGCCAAAATTGCACAGTGTGAGCCGGGCTTAACACGATGCAATATGTGTTAAGTGCACACACCATTACAGCAGCGCTGGACTGGATAACTGTGTGAGGAGAGCGACTCTGACCTGTAGATTGGCGTTCTGTGTTTGTAGCGTGGTGTTGTTCTCCTGTAGAGACGCGGTCTGTCTCTGAAGAGCTAATATCTGTGCCTGGAGATTCCCGCTCTGAGACTCCAGCTGCTTCAGCTGCGTCCGGAGAGCCTGCTTCTCTGCGTGGAGAGTGGCGTTCTGGACAAACATCAGCAACATCAGCTGCTGTGCTAACGTAAAGACATTCTGATAGCGCTGAGCTGGTACTCACGTTTCTCTCCACCTCTATGAGTCGGTCTTTGACCTTCAGAAGCTCTCGCGTGGCCTCCTGACTCTGCTTCTCCCACTTGCTCTGTGTGTCCTCCCGTCCTCGAGCAGGCGAGCTCTGAGCCGAACACTCCTCCTCCTGACGCTGGCGCAGGGCCTCGTAGTTCTTCTTCACCTGCGGGTGGACAAAACGAGGCTTAACGAACACAATCTGAAGTCACTGCCAACCAGCCAAACAAAGCCTGACGCCCAACCGTTTTGAGCTCCTGTCGTAGCTGCTGGTTGAGGTTGGAGGACTCCTGCAGTCGGGCTTCTAGAGCAGCGATCTTCTCCGCTTTGATCTCCAGAGAGGACTTCAGAGTGGACTCCAGTTTACACTCTAGAAGCTTAAACCTGACAAACAAGAAACACACGGTTATACAAGTGACATTATGACTCCAGCATTCGTGCAAATTCATGTTGTTGCAGCCCTAGTTTCTGAAGTGATGTAAGGGTATGAAAATTTCTTATCACGATTATAGTGACCAAAATTATCACGGTTATCAGTATTATCACCGTATTGTTAAAATGTGCTAGAAATGTTCAAAAAGTACTATATTATAAAAAGTTTTATATTTAAAATCAACAATTAATGAACACAATCTGAAGTCACTGCCAACCAGCCAAACAAAGCCTGACGCCCAACCGTTTTGAGCTCCTGTCGTAGCTGCTGGTTGAGGTTGGAGGACTCCTGCAGTCGGGCTTCTAGAGCAGCGATCTTCTCCGCTTTGATCTCCAGAGAGGACTTCAGAGTGGACTCCAGTTTACACTCTAGAAGCTTAAACCTGACAAACAAGAAACACACGGTTATACAAGTGACATTATGACTCCAGCATTCGTGCAAATTCATGTTGTTGCAGCCCTAGTTTCTGAAGTGATGTAAGGGTATGAAAATTTCTTATCACGATTATAGTGACCAAAATTATCACGGTTATCAGTATTATCACCGTATTGTTAAAATGTGCTAGAAATGTTCAAAAAGTACTATATTATAAAAAGTTTTATATTTAAAATCAACAAACAACAAATAAAATGACTTTTTGTTTGCATAAACACTAAAACAATGACATTACCAATGATGTCCGGATTTTAATTGACAGGATGACTGACAACAGTTTATCTAATAGCATGTACGAAATGTTCAAATAAAGCTTTGAAAAAGTTCCATAAAATGGTAAACCTCACATTTCAGCCTTTCAATAGAAGGGTTGTCAAAATGATAATTGATTAATAAATGATTATATGTATTTTATCTGCTCTATTAATATACTAATTGTTTAAATGTGTAGAATCCACATAAGCTTGTTTTTCATCAAAATTCACAGAAGGCATGTAAACCCGGTCTGTTTTTAGTCCAGACAGACTGAATGTGAATGTGAGTCTCTGTAACTCCACTCTCTGACAGCAGGTGGCGCTTCTGGAGCAGCAGAATTACAGCTGTTTCTCATAACCTCCTGCACAAAGCAGCATTGCTTTATTAGGTATTACATGGAGCGATTACAGATTACATCTTTTTCTGAAGACAGTCAGAATCTTCAGAGGTACATTCATATAATTAATTATTTTATATATTCATTTGTATAATTCCCCGTATTGTTAAAATGTGCTAGAAATGTTCAAAAAGTACTATATTATAAAAAGTTTTATATTTAAAATCAACAAACAACAAATAAAATGACTTTTTGTTTGCATAAACACTAAAACAATGACATTACCAATGATGTCCGGATTTTAATTGACAGGATGACTGACAACAGTTTATCTAATAGCATGTACGAAATGTTCAAATAAAGCTTTGAAAAAGTTCCATAAAATGGTAAACCTCACATTTCAGCCTTTCAATAGAGGGGTTGTCAAAATGATAATTGATTAATAAATGATTATATGTATTTTATCTGCTCTATTAATATACTAATTGTTTAAATGTGTAGAATCCACATAAGCTTGTTTTTCATCAAAATTCACAGAAGGCATGTAAACCCGGTCTGTTTTTAGTCCAGACAGACTGAATGTGAATGTGAGTCTCTGTAACTCCACTCTCTGACAGCAGGTGGCGCTTCTGGAGCAGCAGAATTACAGCTGTTTCTCATAACCTCCTGCACAAAGCAGCATTGCTTTATTAGGTATTACATGGAGCGATTACAGATTACATCTTTTTCTGAAGACAGTCAGAATCTTCAGAGGTACATTCATATAATTAATTATTTTATATATTCATTTGTATAATTCCCTTAGCACTCTTTTAAAACCTCCCAGCTTTTCCGCCATGTTTTCACACAAAAATAAACTACTTTGCGTGCTGTGACTGTTACTTAAAACTGTTCTTTATGCTGGACAGTATTTATTTATCCTCAGTTGTTCAAATCGCGGTAATCGAACATGGTTTTAATGATAATCAAAATATGAAACGGTAATACTAACCGTGGGGAACTTTATCATGATTTATCGTCAAACCGGTAATCGTTCCATCCCTAATTCCATGTGTGAATTACCTGTCGTCAGAGCTCTCTTCATCACCCAGAAGCCCCTCTTTATTGAGGCCGATCTTCTCAAGCTCATGGGTCAGCTTCTCCAGGTCATTGTTAATCTGCTGGGTCTTTAATTTTTCATTGACAAGCTCCTGCATCAGGAAACATCACAGTAAGAGTCATGCAAGCAGTCCACAGTCAAGCATGCACCAGCTAACCGTGTTTGATTGATTACCTCTCTCAGAGTGACCAGGGTCTTCTTGTCTATGGTTTCAGAAGCTCTCGCGTGGCCTCCTGACTCTGCTTCTCCCACTTGCTCTGTGTGTCCTCCCGTCCTCGAGCAGGCGAGCTCTGAGCCGAACACTCCTCCTCCTGACGCTGGCGCAGGGCCTCGTAGTTCTTCTTCACCTGTGGGTGGACAAAACAAGGCTTAATGAACACAATCTGAAGTCACTGCCAACCAGCCAAACAAAGCCTGACGCCCAACCGTTTTGAGCTCCTGTCGTAGCTGCTGGTTGAGGTTGGAGGACTCCTGCAGTCGGGCTTCTAGAGCAGCGATCTTCTCCGCTTTGATCTCCAGAGAGGACTTCAGAGTGGACTCCAGTTTACACTCTAGAAGCTTAAACCTGACAAACAAGAAACACACGGTTATACAAGTGACATTATGACTCCAGCATTCGTGCAAATTCATGTTGTTGCAGCCCTAGTTTCTGAAGTGATGTAAGGGTATGAAAATTTCTTATCACGATTATAGTGACCAAAATTATCACGGTTATCAGTATTATCACCGTATTGTTAAAATGTGCTAGAAATGTTCAAAAAGTACTATATTATAAAAAGTTTTATATTTAAAATCAACAAACAACAAATAAAATGACTTTTTGTTTGCATAAACACTAAAACAATGACATTACCAATGATGTCCGGATTTTAATTGACAGGATGACTGACAACAGTTTATCTAATAGCATGTACGAAATGTTCAAATAAAGCTTTGAAAAAGTTCCATAAAATGGTAAACCTCACATTTCAGCCTTTCAATAGAGGGGTTGTCAAAATGATAATTGATTAATAAATGATTATATGTATTTTATCTGCTCTATTAATATACTAATTGTTTAAATGTGTAGAATCCACATAAGCTTGTTTTTCATCAAAATTCACAGAAGGCATGTAAACCCGGTCTGTTTTTAGTCCAGACAGACTGAATGTGAATGTGAGTCTCTGTAACTCCACTCTCTGACAGCAGGTGGCGCTTCTGGAGCAGCAGAATTACAGCTGTTTCTCATAACCTCCTGCACAAAGCAGCATTGCTTTATTAGGTATTACATGGAGCGATTACAGATTACATCTTTTTCTGAAGACAGTCAGAATCTTCAGAGGTACATTCATATAATTAATTATTTTATATATTCATTTGTATAATTCCCTTAGCACTCTTTTAAAACCTCCCAGCTTTTCCGCCATGTTTTCACACAAAAATAAACTACTTTGCGTGCTGTGACTGTTACTTAAAACTGTTCTTTATGCTGGACAGTATTTATTTATCCTCAGTTGTTCAAATCGCGGTAATCGAACATGGTTTTAATGATAATCAAAATATGAAACGGTAATACTAACCGTGGGGAACTTTATCATGATTTATCGTCAAACCGGTAATCGTTCCATCCCTAATTCCATGTGTGAATTACCTGTCGTCAGAGCTCTCTTCATCACCCAGAAGCCCCTCTTTATTGAGGCCGATCTTCTCAAGCTCATGGGTCAGCTTCTCCAGGTCATTGTTAATCTGCTGGGTCTTTAATTTTTCATTGACAAGCTCCTGCATCAGGAAACATCACAGTAAGAGTCATGCAAGCAGTCCACAGTCAAGCATGCACCAGCTAACCGTGTTTGCTTGGTTACCTCTCTCAGAGTGACCAGGGTCTTCTTGTCTATGGTTGCTTGTTTGACCAGTTCCTTATTGTCCTTCTCCAAGTCTTTCACGCGACCACACATGTCTTTGAGAGCGGCGACCTCCTTGCCCAGCGTGCGGTTCTCCTTCTCGAGATGAGAGATGCGCAGGTTGTCTTCATCGAGTCTGGAGTCTTTGATTTCAGCCTGCTGTCGCAGCCGTTTGTTCTCCTTCTCCAGCTGCTTCTTGTCCTTCTCCAGCTGACTGTTCTCCTGCTCCAGGGCTGTGTTCTCCTGCGCCAGCTGCTCCAGGCCTTTGCTGGAGATCTTCAGCTCCTCCAGACTCTGCTGCAGGCTCTGGTTCTCCACCTCCGTGTCCTGCAGCTCTCCCTCCAGCTGCTGAATCTTGCGGCTGCCAGACTCCAGGGCTTTCTGGAGCCGCTGGTTCTCTGCGTCGAGGCTTTGGTAACTGACTTCCAGACGCTCGTTTTTTTTGGACGAAGCCTTCAGCAGCTCGAGACTCTTTTTGAGTTGGGTTCTCTCGTTCTCCAGCTCTTTGTTCTCCAGCTCCAGCTGGGCAGCCTTGGCTCCGCAGGACCGTAAAGACTCCACCATGCGCCGGAGCTCCAGGTTTTCTTCGTCCAGCTGAGCGTTCTCCTTCTCCAGGACCTCCAGCTGATAGGAAACATTCCTCAGACCGTCTGCTGCTTTCTTCAGCTTCCTGCTCTCCGCTTCCAGCTCAGCATTCTCCTTCTCCAGCACCTCCACCTTCCCGCAGGTGATGGCGAGAGCAGCGAGACGCTTCTGCAGACTCTCCTTCTCTCGCTCCAGTCGATGGACCTCCATCTCCAGCTCCTCGGCTCTTTCTCCTTTCTCTCTGTAGTGCTCCAGGTCTTTGCGAAGCTGTTTGCGCTCAAACTCCATCTTGTTGAGCTTGCTGCTGGTCTCTTTGATGGACTCGTGCAGCACGCGGTTTTCTTTCTCGATGTCTTTGACGCGGGCCTCAGCGCTGACCTGAGAGCGCTGTCTGAGAGAGGCGATGGTCTGGTTCAGATGATCGTTCTCCTGTTCCAGACCCTTGACCTGCGTCACCACCAGACAAGTGTGTCAGGTAAGAGCTGAACAATCATGACAGTTTAAGACCCTCACTGTTTGGAATTTTCTTAAAACACCTTTAACTCCTAAATCAATCATCTGATTTTCAGGAAACTCCAATCAGATCATGTTGATCTTCCAGTCATGGAGTTCAAGATGATTAGCTAAACTGTTCTTGAATAATTTGCTAACGAATTTGATGAAGAGTGTGCTGAAGCCTTGTTTTGTTGGATTCAGTGGCATGCTGAGGTGATCAATACCTAAATTTCCCATCTCGGCCATATTTGGTCATAAAATTCTGTATTTTATTATTGTATTAAAGGGGTGGTTCACTGTTTTTTTCTCTAGGTTTGATTGTGTTTATGGGGTGCAGTCTAACATGTGTTAATGCTTCATTAAAAAAAAAAAAAAAGCATTATTTTTCACATAATTTATCTTTATTCCACATCTCTCTGTCCCTTCTCTGAGAAACACGCTGATCATGTCCTTCTTTTATGAAGCCCCTCCCTCAGAAATAGGCGATGGGCTCTGATTGGTTAGCTGGCCCAATGTGTTGTGATTGGCTAAAGCGTCTCTAGTGCTTGCACCCTCAGATTCCAGATTTTCAAATAGTTGCATCTCAACCAAATATTGTCCTATCCTAACAAACCATACATCAATGGAAAGCTATTTTTTCAGATGTACACATCTCAATTTAAAAAAATAGACCCTTATGACAGGTTTTGTGCTCCAGGGTCACGTATCAAACATGCTTTAAAACATTGGATTCTTTGCCGGCTGTGCTGATGATATAGACTAGAGCCTACGCAGCTCTGATGCTGAGGAGTTTTTGACTCAAACCTCCGTCAAAAATCTGTGAACAAAGTGAAGTCTGACTGAAATGACGTTTTATGCGCTTGCCTTAAGCTTTAACACATTCCATTGGTTTCCAGTGTTCGTTTGTGCCAGATCAGCTCAAGCTCATGGGAAAACATTACAGTATTTTACCATTTTGTATGAATTTGTGCTGTGAGAATTATACAAAAACGTGATTTTTAGAAATAAAGCAAGCATGAAGGTCCACTCCTGCTACAAAATTTCACAAATTAGCCACCAGATTGCAATGTCGTATTCTATAAGACTTTTGAAAAACTTTTGTGATCTGGACATACTTTTTGTATTAGTGTTTTTATGCATGCATTAAAGAAATAGTTCGCCCAAAAATAAAAATTTGCTTAAGATACACCTGTAATGTTTTCTTCGAAGGCATTTTTTATAAAAATTGCTTAAATATCTTATCTTAAGCCAGGACTAGTCCTGGCTTAAACTAAGCCCTGTTGGTGTTAAACTCACAAGGGGCCTTCATGAAGGAATTCAGTCAGTTTATGTTAGTTTGCATCGTCCCATAGAAATGGTGACCCCTTCTCCGGAACTCACCTGCTGTGAAGAAACTAGACTCATGATGATGACCCACTACTTGAAAGGGGAAATACTGTAACCAGAGGACACAATTCTTTTCAATCGCAATTGAGCGCTGTGCATGAACAAAAGCCAGCAGCATTTTATTATCTGGTCACCAAGAGCTGAAAAAGCCACACGGTGGAGAAGACAAATTCACACTCAAAACTGATGCATTCTTGATTCGACTCGCTCAGCTCACACTCAAACAAAAACACCAACAGGAGTAATGGGTACAAAGAAAAGCGTGTATTGCAATTCAGCGCTTCTGTAACACGACTAACTGCAGCAAACGCTTCCTAGCGCATAAATACAGTGACAACAGTCTGCAGTCCACGGCAGAGATCTGGCTGATGAACTAGACTCAGCCTTTGAGTGAAGACATGCCGGCTCTCATGATCTCATCCACCAGGAGGATGTTACTGGCGATGACGGTACTGCGCAGACGAGAGAGAGAGAGAGAGAGACAGATGCAGAGAGTGAGAGAGAGAGATGGAGAGAGAGAGAGATGCAGAGAGAGAGAGAGAGATGCAGAGCGTGTGCAGAGCAGGGGACGCGAGGAACAGGATTGAGAACCGCTGCTTTAGAACATTGATTTTGAAACTTGTGAATACATTAGAATCGTGATTCATATATGAACAGATTTTTATGTGCACCCCTAGTTTTCTCTTCCTCTTCTCTAAAGCAGCGCTGCATGGCCCCGCCCCCTTTGCTGCCTTTTCCCGGAGGCGGGGTTTATCTGGGTTTGTGATGTCATGAACCCAGGAAGTAACTCGTTGTAGTCCCTACCAGCTATTTTTGTAGCCATTAAACTGCCAGAATCTTAAAAGACGATATCTCCGTTTACATTGAACTTTCAGCTTCGTAACTTTGCAGATATTGTTTATGCTCAAACAGCAACATTACACGCTAACTAACGTTAAAAAAGTGAAATCGCAATCAACCACCCCTTTAATGCATCATTACAAAACTTGGTATGTGTCATCAGCACTATACCTCAAAGGTAGGCCTGGGTGATTTTTCCGATTTAATCAATTAATTCGAATTTAATGTTTTGCCACGATTAAATTTTTTCTACTTAATTCTTAATTCTACTGTATGTCTGATATTTCATGTTTGGGTCATGGAAAGCTGTTGTTTTTACAGAACATTTATAGTTAATAATAGTCTACTGGTGTTATACCTTCAGTCATTGTGCATTTGAATTACCTTGACTATTGAGAATTTTTTTAGAAGCATTTAACTCTTATGATTTCTGAACATATAATATGTATAAGACAAGCTTGTACAAGATGTAGTTGTAGTTCATGCATCTTTTCTGCAAAACAAGTGATTTGTTTAACATTTACATCATGTTGACAACTTCATGTGTGCTGCACTTGGAATAGGATCTTTAACTAGAGGGTTAATAAAGAACAAGATACTTTATTTATGTTATTACATTTTCAAGTTGATTAGTTAAAAATCGTAAATATTGAGAAACGGTAAAATGTTCTGAAAAAATCAAGATCAAATTTTTTTTTTGCCATATTGCCCAGCCCTACTCAATTTTTTTCTTCTGTAGAAAACTGTTACACTGAAAGTTTTAAAGTGTGTTAAGATAATGCTTTGAAGTTCAGTGCTGAAACTATGGAGTATAGAGTAATGATCCTCCAGCATGAACCAATACAGTAGGTCCTCTACTGGTAATCGTCAGCCAATGAGCATTCATGCTCTCTGTGCCGCTAACATTTAAAGTCTTGCTTCAGTGTTGCGGTAAGCAGTTCACTAAACAGTATGCTACATGGCATCCCGTCTTAGCGGCACACACAGAGGTGTGTTTCTAAATGTGAAAGCCTTAGGCAACACGGCTCAGGCACACATAGGTCCTTAGTTTTAGTGGTAGATCAGCATTGTTGGGGGCTCGTGTTTTGCGTTTGTGGAGGGATGTACGTGTGTTTCACATGCTTGCTGCAGCATGTCTGTGTATGTCTCAGCAGCAGATCTTGTCCACTGAGAGTGCGGTGTACCTGTCTGTCGGAGTTCTGCTGGAGCGTCTCCAGGGTTTTCTCCAGCTGTGCCTTCTCCTTCAGCAGGTCTGCGCTCAGACTCTCAGCGCTGCGCAGACTCTCTCTGTCTGCAGCCAGCTCCGCCTGCAGCTGCTCCAGCTGCGCAAACACACACTGCTTCATACACTCATCACATTCTCATCAGCTGCCAGTGCGACACTCATCTGACATATGGACACGCTCATAATGAGCAATCAAACTCGTATGAGCGGCTAATGCTCTGGAAGCAGCTTAACTGAACCCAAATCAGATTTAAACTCGGATTGCTCACTGATGAATATTATCCGTTAAGACCATGCAAAATTTTAACCCATTCTGTTCAAACTGTTCTCCTTTCTTTGTGTGAGGAACATAATTTATTCACAGCTTAGTAAAGCCACACCAGAATGGACTTCCTTACTACTAATCCTGGTCTCACTGTGAACTAATAATAATTCATATTATGGCAAAGCTGTTTGCAAATGTTTGCTTTTGAGATGTGTTTGTGATATTTTGAATGCAGTGCTACATTTTGCAAGAAATGTGAGGCATTTAGCATTTTGTGTGTGCAGTTCTTGGATTTGTGTGTAAAGTTTTGAAAAAAAAAAAAGCGAAAATGTGTGTAAGCTGTTGAAAAAAACTGTAATATAGAAACCCTTTTGACCCATCATTCTTTAAAGTCAAGTCTCACAAATAAACATTATGTTTTCAAATATGAGAACTGTGCTGAGAAGCGTCTGGACTCTGACCTGCTGGCTGAGTTTCTGGTTGTGTTTCTCCAGACGGAGGCGCACGCCGCTCTCACCGGAGGCCTTCAGCTCCTCCACGCTCTTCAGCAGCATCTGATTCTCCTTCTCCAGCTTCAGCAGCTGACTGGACGTCAGCTCATTCACCTCGTGACCCAGAGACTTCTGCGGCACTGCGCTCACAACACACAGCATCTCTCAGAGTCACGCTCACAGCCCACGGACACCAGCCTCTCGTTTAGAAAACATCCTGTATTTGGGTCACTACACCATCTTGGCAAAGCATCCTAATCTGGGATCTATCCTGAAACGTGCTCCACATACACACATATGTCTCGTACCTTCAGTGAGCTCGGGAGTGGTCTTGGAGAGCTGCTCCAGTTCCCAGCCCAGATGCAGAGACTCGTCCATGCTCTGTTTCTGGGCCACCGCTAGCGTCAGGTTCTCCTCCAGCAGCTCCTCCAAGCGCTTTCGGTCCATGTCTCGCTCCTGAAACACAACAGCATCTGTCAGCATCCCCAGTCTGTCTAGATCTATCACACAATTCAACCTGAATATGAACAACACCGCTTAAATAAAACTATTTTTCATTTTATATAATACTTTAAATAATTTGAAATATCTTGAACTTAATGTAAAACAAATAATAAGAAAAAGATGAAAATGAAAATCATTTATCATTAGACAGGACAGATAAGAGAGAGGAAACTAATGAGGTGCTATATAGTCAGGGGTGCACATAAGTGGTCCGCATGCGCGACCAAAATAAGAAATGCGCTGTGTAAATTAGTTCAGAGCGCGCGTTTGCGTAGCTGTTAATGCACAATTACCATTTTGGATCGACAAACTGTACTGTATAAGATTTCTATTCAAACTAAAAGCATAAATCTTTATGATCTTTAGCTAAATGACTAAATGTAAATCTAGCCTACCTGCTAACGTTTTCAAAGCACAATGCAAAACTGTGACATTTCGGGAGCGCATATACTTACTTACTTGCTGGCAATCCGCTAAAATAAAAGCTTGCTGATTTTAAGTTTGAAAATGAAAAATGAAAATAATTCAAATTAAAAATAATATTTAAGGTTCAAATTAAAATAATAATAATAAAATATTAGCATTTTATTTTTAAGTTTACTATAAAATAATTGTATTTGTATTTAATACTCCCTTTTTATTTTAAAATAAAATAGCATTATCACACTTTATTATTTAGTTTACGATTTTATTTTTAAAAAACTAAATAAAGTGCAATAATATTATCACTATTATTAATTTATTTTTTATAGTTATATCTGATGGGTCACACGATGTACCGCTGTGTGAGGACCAAACCAAATCTCCAGGTTCTCATATGAAAACCAGGCTGAAAAACTTATGTGCACCCCTGTATATAGTGTTGTATTAATGGACTAAACATTTGATCGCTCTGTGCTCTCACCATCTCCATGTCATGGACCTTGTTTTTAAGCTGCAGATTTTCCTTCTCCAGCTCATGATGTTTATCAGATCGAGCTCTGAATGACTCCAGCTGATCCTCCAGCATGCTCTTGGTCTCCAGGAGAACCTGATAGTCCTCTTTCAGTTCCTACATGTACACATATAATCAATAACAGCCAGCAAAATCCCAGCATTCCCTCATGAATACACACAATCAATAACTGCCATGGCATTCCTTTGTGAACACAGACAATCAATAACCTTCACAACATTCCCAGCATTCCCTCGTGAACACAGACAATCAATAACCTTCACAACATTCCCAGCATTCCCTTGCGAACACACACAATCAATAACCTTCACAACATTCCCAGCATTCCCTAGTGAACACACACAATCAATAACTGCCATGGCATTCCCAGCATTCCCTCATGAACACACATAATCAATAACTGCCATGGCATTCCCAGCATTCCCTAGTTAACACACACAATCAACAACCTCCACAACATTCCCAGCATTCCCTTGTGAACACACACAATCAATAACCTCCACAACATTCCCAGCATTCCCTCGTGTGAACACACAATCAATAACTGCCATGGCATTCCCAGCATTCCCTAGTGAACACACACAATAAATAACCTCCACAACATTCCCAGCATTCCCTCGTGAACACACACAATCAATAACTGCCATGGCATTCCCAGCATTCCCTCGTGAACACACACAATCAATAACCTCCACAACATTCCCAGCATTCCCTAGTGAACACACACAATCAATAACCTCCACAACATTCCCAGCATTCCCTCGTGAACACATGTAGTCATGTGAACGCACCTCCACTCTGGTCCTGTAGAACTCAATGTCATGGAGTTTCTCTTTGTAGCGCGTCACTTCACTCTCCAGTTTGTCCACCCTGACGGCCTTCTCTCTGAGAGCATCCAGCTCGTCACGATACGCCCGCAGCGACCGCGCGTCACACAGCAACTGCAGGTTCTGACAAACACACAAGCAAATGTGTTTAACCAATATATATTTGATTTACAATATGCAGAATTATGACACTCTTTGATTTACCAGAATTACTAAACATTATAATGATAAACTAAATAGACTTATAGATATTCATACAGGCTCTGGGAACAGGTTTGGGAAATTTAGATTCTTGTATTCCACAGAATGAGGGTAAATGACGACAGAATTGTCATCTCTTTGAGAGGCTGGACTGCTGTGTGAGGGTTTATTTATCCCGGTTTGATGCCATGGATCAGACAGTGATACAGCGGCGTCTGTAAATACACGTGTGATGATCGGCTGAGCTATTACTGGCTGTGTAAAGCTGTGGCGTGTAAGTAGTTAAAGGAATTACTGTAATCATTACACATCAGGACTCGCAATTAAGATGACAGAGATTTAGTTAAGCTCAGTGTCACACAGGAGCGTGTTTTTCAGTCAGTGGTGATGATGTAGAGATGCCTCACTTCCTGCTGCAGTCTCTTGACCTCCGTCTCCATGTGCTCCAGCTCCTGTCTGCAGTCCAGCAGCTGCTCAGTCTTCTCCTCTCTGAAACACAGAGACATTCAAGCAGTTAGTCTGCAGAAGCGGGTAAGACTCCTGGTTAATGATGGGCCGCTGTCAGGTTACTTCTGTGATAATCCTACTGTACCACACATTGGATGAGAAAAACCTCTACTCATGAACTTTACTGGAGACCAGATGAGAGCTGTGACTATGTTTGATAAACTGCACAGAAACAAAATGAATCTCGTTCATGATCAGTGGGGAAGAGGAAGTGGAGCTGTGCGATTCTTTTATGGCACACGGATTAAAATAAACTGTCCTCCTTTACCCTGCAGTGAAAGACGCAAGAACAGAAGCCAGGTAAAGAGCCGTGGCCTCATTCTAGATGTGCAGAATCATCCTGGACGCTTCAGCATGCATACAGGACAGTGTGAGAACTCCTCTAACAAAGCCACCGCAGCCACAGCTTCAGTTTAATGCTAGGAAACTCTCTCTCATCCTCTCACAAATGACTTGTTTGAGACTAGGACTGCGAATCCAAAATCAATTCCAATTCCAGAATGGGATACTTAAGGTCAGGAACCGGACACTTGTTGTGAAATTTAAATTTAAATTCCACCTCTCAATTCCAGTGTGCGCATCTTTTATTTTTAGGTGGTGGAAAGGAGCTGTTAAAAATGTATTTGTCTTGGGATCATTCATTCAAAAACACGCATTCATCCAGTAATGAAACGAGTAAATGTTGAGTGAGCCATTAGCTGCGTCCCAAATGACGCACTATGCACTTGGTACTTATGCACTATGTACTCAACCATGGTGTGTATGAATTATATAAGGTTATTCTGTCATTCATAAACGAGTCTGATAGCCCCTCCCCTTCACTACGTAATTAAAGCTGCGACAGTTGAGTGCATGAAGTGTCCAACATTCCACACTTCGTTTGTTCGGTTATTTAAGTGCATCATCCGGGTATTTAAAGTGCACTTTTTCTTTGTGAAATGTTCAGTGTGAACGCACTACTCGCACTATTTATATTACAAAACGTCATAGAATAGTGCATAAGTACGCGATTTGGGACACACCAATTAAATCATTCCATGAGATTTAGTTTACTTCTCTACACAGAGTACACAGAGGGAGAATAACAGAAATAGAGGAAGAGAGTACGGTTCACTGCGGTTATGTGATTATGTCGTGTTAGATAGCATCGCTTTATAAGTACTGTACCTTAATGTAAATGATTCACCAGGGCTTTTGTTAAAGAGTCAAAGCAGCAGTAAAGATAACACTTGTAACGTCATTTACAGTTATAAACTGGCTGTTTGTTAAGCTCTCCGGGAGTCTGAAGTAGATGTTAGTCTGAGAGAACATCAGCAAACACAGAGACACTGAGGGAAATAACGCTGACAGCTGCGTGTGAAGAGCTGTAGCAGCGCAGACTAACGGCTGAACTCCATCAATAGATCAATAACTTCCTCTGGTCCTCAGCACTTCCTGTAACGGCCAGCGGACCGAGGGGAAGCTGGATAAGTGCTTTACTCACAGCTCCTGCCGCAGGCGTCTGATCCTGGCTTTAGCATCGGCCAGCTCCACCGACAGATGCTGCACGCTCTCCGTGCGTCTCATGCTCGACTCACCGGGCGATGGAGCGGAGTGCAGAGAGCTGAGCCCACTGTCCCTCTCCAGAGTCAGAGACACGATCATCTGACCACACACACACACCAGAAACAAACACACACACACACACACACACACACACAC